ACACACATGCACATTCATGCTCACATACACATGCACACACATGCACACACATGCACGCACATGCACACACACATACATACACGTACACATATACACGCACACACACACACTAACGCACATACAGTTGCAGCCACATCCATACACAACGTACATACACACATATTTATGCATACACACACACACAACACAGATACAAACATACAAACACACACACACAGATGAAAACACATATTATGCACGCACTCACTTTTATTCACATACATACAGATCCCAGCACTGGCGGTCTTGGAAGACGCTCTCTCTTGCTTACAGAACGTGGTCAGTCGTCGTCTGTGTTGTAGCGGTTAAGCGCTTTGACGTCGCACACAGGAGACCCGAGTTTGATTCTGGAGTGGGGAGAATTTGTATCGACTATCTCTGTCTTTCTGCTGGGCTGTTGTATATCCCGCTCAGCCGTGTTGGCCGAAACCCGTCTCACAAATTATCTAAATTGTGTCGATTGGGGAGTAAGAATCTCTACAATAAGAAAATTACATCAAATACAGATGGCCAAGCGTAACGCGTTATATTAGTCAGCATGACGTTGCTCTGCTACAACTCCGCCAGTAAAATATTTCGACTGACATTTTTATGCACCAATATACTTAGCAGTCATATAAACTCGGCTACACAATAAAGTCTACCGGTCTGTCTGCCTGTCTGTCTGTCTGCCTGTCTACCAGTCTGCCTGTCTGTCTGTCTTTGTTTGTTTTAGTAGAGGTTTTTCGGCGCTCGCAACTGCAAAATAAGGTCATATGAGTGCCAGAAGATTAGAGGTGTTACAAGAGAGTAACAAACATAAAAAAGAAGAAGGGGAGATAAGGGCGATAGATGTTTGATAGGAAAGAAGGAGCAAACCACACCAGAGCTCCCGCCAACCACCCACTATGTCTGTCTGTCTGTCTGCCGTTCTGACTGTCTCGCCATTTGTTTTACTGTCTGGCTGGTTGGGTGCCCCCCCACCTCCCCACCCCCAAACAAAACAAAACAAATCAACAAAACAACAAACCCAAAACAAAACAAAGAGGAAACACAAATCACAGGACAATGACCAGCCCCACCAGAGGAAGAAAAAGTAACGAGATTCTTATGAAAGCGATATAGAGATGTCTGGACGTTATCTTTGTTGTGAGCGGACGAATAAAGTCAGGTTTTACGGACGTACACAATGTTATTGGTCACTGCGTGTGCTTTATTCTGATCGCTTTCCGCTCCGCGTATGATGGCTGACGGGAATCGGAAATTAAGTTATACAAAGTCATTTCTAGACAATGTTGGAGCCTTTTTTCCTAATCTTTTTTTTTTTAAACCTCCGAAGGGGGTATCTCACGTACAGTGACAACTCTCAGTTGTCTGTCTTCTTTGTGTTGTAAGAAAATAATGACTCAAAGAGGAAGGCCCCCCCCCCTCTCTCTCTCTCTCACTCTCTCTCTCTCTCTCTCTCTCGCTCTCTCTCAATACTTTGAAACTCCTTGTGGGAAAGTTCAGACCAAACCTGGAAAAAACAAGACGTGTTACAAAACAATAGCAAATTATGATACAATAGACAACAATAATTGTACTACTAATAATAATTTTGAAAAAGAGATTCGCTCGCTGTCGCATATTATAGTACAGGCAAAGTTACGATTACTTGAAAAATTAACTCGAAGTAACTTTATGGGTGGCAGGGACTCAAGTTATCGTAGTTTGTTCAATGCCTCAAATACGCTTTAGAGTGACATTAAAATAGAATTAACAAGATTTAGTTTTCAAGCATATTTAGTGTCACAACGCGGTGGAATTAGACACTCGTAAATTTTTAGGCATATTATGGAATTTTTGGTGTCATCGTAAACTTTTATTAGTTTTAGTAAGGTTTTCCGGCGCTAGCAACTGAAGATCATATGAGCGCCAAGGGATGGATGTCAAAAAAGAAGTCCAGTCGTAAAGCTTTTATGTTTTGCTTTTGAAAAAAAAAATACCCATGTAGCTCAAATAGAAGTCGAAATATTTGAGATTGTAGGCGCATGGGATCGTCTTGTGTCAGAGGTAGAGTTACCAAGAAAATGACTGCCAACGTTTAGTAACAAGCCTTTGGAAACTACAGCTTTACATTTTTCGTGCCCTTGATCAACTTTCTTCTGTAAAATTCACACTAACTTGAGCTTAAGTGGTCATAAAACGTGCTAAGCCCCCCCCCCCCCCCCAAAAGAAAACAAATAAATAAAAATTGCCCAGCGGGAGGAACAATACTGGTTTCTTTGATTTCATTATTTTGACGAGCGCCTGATTTCCCCACGATGCCACACACGTATTTTGTTTACTTCCGCGAGTGCTGTGAATTTAAGAAAATTAGACTGTGGGGTGGGAAATGCTCTATTAATGATATTTTCAAACGATGACCAATGCATCTGCTGGGGAGATTATTTCTAAATTTTAGGCGAAATAGAAGAAATAAGAATTGTGTTGACTTCCGGCTTCTGCTATGGCCAATAAAACCAATTCTGTCAAAGTTGAGTTTGTCACGTTTTATATTAATATTCTACCTACGGTATTATGGTACACACAGAGTAACAACCCAAACAAAGGACTAGCTATCAAAATACATTCTCTTTGTCCAGGAAGGAAAAAAAGAGGAAGAAAATTAGACGAAAATAAAAGAAAGAAGAAATAAAAATGAAGCACAAGGGTTAGGACAGATGATGAAAGGGGTGAAAAGTGAAATGAAGAGAAAAGAACAGGAATTGAACATAACAGAGTCTGTTTCAAATGCCAAGAGTTCAAAAAAACGAAAACAAAAAATACAAAACAGAAATGAAACCGCCATTATTTGTTCTTCTGTATTCGACGGATCGCTATTACCCAATAAAACATTCTTGCTTTGATGTCAGGGAAAAAATGGTTAGAGATAAACATGGAAAAAAATATTAAACGACAGACAGACATCCATTCTCATCCACCAGTCAGGCCCATTTCTTCCCCCATGAGCATACTTACGCTGCGGGAAACACAGAGACTCAATCAAATTATATTTTTAAGCAAATCAGACACAAAGTAGAATTATTTACCCAGGGAACGAGTTACAAGGCAATCATTATCGTGGTAGGCGAGATGGTTATTATAATTTTATAACTGGGGAAAAATACAAGAGGTGTACTCCGGGTAAATATTATGTCTCTTTATTTTGGAGATAAATGGCTTACTTGCATGCTATAACATTTGTAAGACTAAAGGAGGTTGGCAAAATGTGTGCACCTTGTATGTTTGGATTATTACAAATGATATTTTTTCCTTATTTGTTGTTATTGTTGATTGCTGTTTTTTTTTGTTTTGTTTTTTACTCAGAAGCACTGTTTACGGTTTTAAAAGTGCTTGAATTTTAAAACTGATAAATAGGACAGACGATGTTGTCGTACGTCATGTAAACGTACTATAGATATTGAATGGGCCGGAAAAAACACATTCTCGAAAAGAAAGTAATAACAGGAAAAGAGAAAGGAAACAATAGAAGGTGTTGCTTGAGGCGACTGAAAAAAGTAATGGAGGAGGAGGAGGAAAAAATAAAGTGGGGGATTAAGAGAAAAGAGTGTAGGTATAAAAGAGAGCATCTAGCAGAAAGAAAGTATTCATAACAAAGTCAACGATAAAAAATACAACAGAGACTGGAAGAAGATAAAGAGACAGAGGACATCTTTTTTTTTTCGTATCGAGTGACCTTGTGCTTGCCAACCTGAGTAATACCTACCAATAGTGGACGGTTTAATCATTTTGGTGGGCGATCACTGGGATTGTCTGGATAGTGACAGATTGTGTTTTATGCCCCGCTTGGGAGTACATGTAGATGAGCAGCACCAACATTTTAGCCTCTGAAAGGGGGCAGACGCGAGCTTTACTTTACTTTTACTTTTATCCGCCGCTTATACCCTTTTGGGTGTCGAGGGAAGAGCAGGAGAGCTTGGGTCAGGGGAAAGCCATGAGTTGTTAGTGTTTCCCCTGACTCGCATCTATCCAGGTCTTTCTCGGTCGCCCTCATGCTGTAGGGCGTTGATATGCTCTTATATGCGCTTTTCTTCTTGTTCTTCTTGTTCTTCTTGTTCTTGTTGTTGTTGTTGTTGTTGTTGTTGTTGTTGTTGTTGTTGTTGTTGTTCTTCTTCTTCTTCTTCTTCTTCTTCTTCATCTTCTTCTTCTTCTTCTTCTTCTTCTTCTTCTTCTTCTTCTTCTTCTTCTTCACATTTTGGCGATACTATAATGTACACAGAACGCTCTAACACAACAATTTGAGCGATTCTGGTATTTAAAAAAAAAAAAAAACGCATTAAAAGGAATTTTCCTAAAACCAATGTTCCCTTACATACATGGGTATATTCGGACATCGTCGATGAGGAAGTACAGTCAGTCGAGTTCCCAAAGGCCTGAAGGCCTCTCTTGATTTTCCAACTCTCATTAACGTCAACGGCTGAAGAGCACGGCAGTTAATCAGCTTCCGACTGGCGTATTTTGCTTTCTGTTTAAAGACCTAGGCGGAATTATTTCCCCTTTTAACATCGTCTCCTTTGTAGCCATGGGCAGTCTGTGAGAACAATCTTATCTGTTGCTTTGTTGCGCTATGTTCGTTTTGATGTTATTGCTTGGTGTGTATGTAATGTTCTGCTATTGTTAGTTGTGCGTAATAACATACTATTGTTAGAGATGTGCTACGATGTATTGTTAGTTGTTTGACATGTGTTATTGCTAGTTGTTTGTTATGATATTATGTTATTGTTAGTTGTTTGTTGAAAGCTATTGTTAATTGTTTGTTATATGTAATCATTAGTTGTTTGTTAAATGCTGTCGTTAATTGTACGTTATATCTTTTTTTTTAATCTTTAGTTATGGGTTATATGATGCAGTTAGCTGTTTGTTATATGCTATTGTTAGTTCTTTTATTGAATTCTTTGTTATGTGTTATTATTCGTAGTATGCTGTTATTGTTTGTCGTATGCCGTTTATTGTATGTTAGCAGTGTGTATGGTGTGTCGATTCCGCTTTCGTAAGTTGCATGTTGTTCGTTGTTCATTGTAAGTTGTGTGTTGTAAATTATGAGAATTGACTGATATTGTGTGCCGCTCGTTGTCAAGTATGTGTGAGTTGTATGCTGTTCACTGGTAGTTGTAAGTTGTATGCTGGAAGTTTTCAGAATTTGTTAAATATATTATGTTGTTCGTTGTTTATTGTAAGTTCTATGTGGTATATTGTGAGAATTTGAAAGTCGTAAGTTGTTCGTTGATCATTGTAAGTTGATTGTTCTAGTGTTCAAAGTTTTTGAGAGTTAATTGTAAATTGTATGTTTTTTGTTGTCCAATGTAAGCTGTGAGAATGTTAAGGTCGTATGCTGTGCATTGTTTGTTGTTCATTGTAATTTGTATCTTGTAAGTTGTGTGATGAATTTTTTTCTGTCTCTCTCACTCTCTCTCTATCTCTCCCTCTCCTTGTCTTTACGCTCTGACCATAAAATCAATGTGATTTGAAAGCACTCTTTGTGTATTCCAATATATTGTTCTATTTCTTTCTCTGCCTCACAATCTGCCTAAACCATCTATATAACATAGTGCGATTTCAACGCCGTAATCAACGCTATAAAGAGGCATATTTCCAATCGCTCAGCTCATCATTGATAGGAGAGATTCAAGTAGGTAAAAGGCCTTGAAAACTCCCCAAATTACCCATTAAGGGGGAGGAGCTGAAAAAAAATTCTCGAAAAGAAAGTAGTAACAGGAAAAGAGAGGAGAAACATTAGAATGTGTTGTTTGAGGCGACACAAAAACAGGAAAAAGTGCAGGAGGAGGCGGGAAAAGTGAAACGAGGGGAGGAGAAAAGAGTGTGGGCACAAAAGAGAGCATCTAGCAGCAAAAATATAAAAATGATAACAAAGTCAAGGATGAGAAAAATAATACAGACTGGACGTGGAAGGAAATTGTGACGCCTTTTTTTTTTTCGTTCGCAACTTTCTGATTTCTCTTGTATTTTTCCTCGGCATCGCTACTCAATACACAGGGAATAAAAGCAAACGGCAGACAATATATCGACGAAGAGAGGGCCTTTTCAAATGAGCAGAACAGCGATTATAGCATGTCCTATATCGGACAACATCGTTAGGGATGAATTTGATTGCTATAGGACGTAATATGTATTTTCCAGCATCTCTTGTAACTTACGTTAGAGCAATATTTAAGGCAAAAACTCTGATTATGCGTAGTTGACCGACTCTGTAATTGCCAGCCCAGAAGAAAAGCCGGGGAACAGATAAGTTTATACGTGGATCCCGAGGTCGTCTCATCAAATAAATCGTCATTGTATCAAACTGCGTGTCGGGTTTTCATTTGTATAAACAATGCTGTCCATTAGGCAACACCCCTCCCCCCAAGAACCCCCAAAAAAAAAAAAAATCACCCACAGCCAAACATTTATATTACGCGCGCTAAAAGAGAAACTGTGTCTATTGCTGTCAGCAAATAAGGCGAAACATGACGTCATCGCGTCTGATTGTAAATTTAACTCGTGATTGGGAATATTTTATGTCTTCGTCGACAAGATTTAGATGGTTTAAGAGACGGTTGCTCAAACCTACCCCCCAGTGCCACACCGAGACTCAGGGAGGTACAACATCCACACAGACATAGACACATGCTAGATAAAATGACTTCTCCGCACACGGCGTCTGTGTAGGCTCTCGCTGTCGCACGCAGAAGACCTGAATTCGATATAAATTGTTATCTAGTATCTCAGTCTATCTGCTGGGATGTATCCCGGAACCCTCTCAGCCTAGGTTGGCCCTGACAGGCAGGGTTGGAAACCTGCCTCCTATATGATCTAAATTGTATCGATTTGCGGGAGGGGGAGGGGTGGATGTAAAAGTACCTAAGCTTACATTTTTAACCACACCGGAATTGAACTTATATCATTAGGACGCAATGGCGAGTATCTACCTCTGGAGACATTGGCATTATCATGTTGACTAAACGTAGACCATAATTAATATGCCCTCAAAAGAATTATAATAATATTACTTCCTGGTCGTCAGGAGTAATCTTACTTTACTTTTTCATTCTCTGTTGCCGTTAATCGTTGAGGGGAAATGTAGTTTTCTATAGTTGGCCAGCTCCGCAGCTCTTGCATTTGTGACATTATGTTTTCTCAGGGTTTCCTTAACAACCTCGATCCACTTTCAAGAGTAATTTACCCTGTTATTATGATCTGAGGGCGCTTCCCCCGTTTCATTCACTCAGACCAGTTTTGTTGTCAACCTTCTCGTCGCCAGCGCCAATTCTTTCCACCTTTAAGAGGAAGAAACATTCTTTTCGCCCATTTACATGTATTTCCGCGTGGGGCAGTAAATAATACCTGCCACTATCTGCGTTATCATGACCGACCGCCCACCAATATTACCAAACAGCCCACAAGAAGACGATACCGTCCAGGTTTGACAAGCACTCACTCAGACTTTTCACCTTGAACGAGTGCAGCTTCAGTATTAAAATTTCCCCTTTCAACGTAATTCAAACCATTTTAAATTATGTAAATGCAAGATGATCTGTAAGATGATTTTGGCAATTTCCCGAGAGATAGAAAATCCATTTTTATTTGTCTGACATTTCAATGGAATAAGAACAACAGGTTATATAACCTAGCAAATGACATAAAAAGAAAAAGTATCAGAGAATTGGAATCGCAGAAACCTTAAGTAACTGCACCCTACTAACTCTTTCGTATAACGGATTTATTTTTCCGGCTTTAAACAGGATCAAACGCTTTGTTTTGGAAGAGAGAGAGTCATGAGAGAGAGAGAGAGAGAGAGAGAGAGAGAGAGAGAGATCA